CCCCAAAACCCCAAAACCCCAAAACCCCGAGAGTAGTTCATTTGATTAAATAGAAATGAATGTGATTTTTTTAGAAGAATCTAGTTGTTGATAAATGAGCTAATTATGTTACAGCGACTTATTTATTTGACTTTATTAGATTTGATCTCCAAACTGGAACTTTAAGTCATAAGAGAAATCTGATGCATTTTAAACGATAGCTCGGATTCGAATCTACTGTAAATTCGTCGCCTAAACCAATATCTTTAGTGTAATATCCATCTATATAGACCCTACCCTCAATTAGCTCACTTCTATATTTCAATTTACTTGCATATCCTTCTGATGATCTATTGTAACCACTAGGTTCCTTCAAATACCCCTCTCTTACGTAATAATACATCTTCTCCTCTTCAGGAGGGAATATAGTTTGCTATGAAATGGTTTTAGCAAAGTGCTCTTCGACCAAGTCTATATTTTCAATATTGCCTAGATAGTTGAGGATAGTCCTCACGTCACTTTATGTTATTCTTCTAGCGGAAAATAGCCAACCAGATGAGCCAGTACCAGTTGACACCAATAAACCACTTGACTTGAATTTACCAAGATCCTTCCCATCCACCTGCAAATTATAAATGCTAGTCTTGCCTGTATCCTTTTCTGCAACAAATATTTCGTTTAAAACTAACTTGTTAATGGACTCTCCTGTCACAGGACTATTCATGCCAAAGTTAATTCGCTACCGATAGAAAATCTCATAGTTTTCCTTGTCTAAGTTGTCAAAGATTCGCTCGATTTGTTTTTATCGCATATCGTAATATATCTTGTTATTGCAAAGAAAGCCTATAGATCTCGAAGGGTCTGTATTTATTCCTAATATCGGTACATCAGGTGTTTCAATGATACCAGCAGTTCTCAGGTAAGTTCCATCTCCACCTACATAACAAACATTATTACACTCCGAAATATAAAATAAGCCCCTTTGATTCAGAGCTTGAGCTATTCGATTAGATAATACCATACCTAAAGAGATAAGAAGATCCTGATCCTTGATATCTTCGGGCTTGAGTTGGAGGTCTTTTTTCATAGTAACATCTTTCCCCATTAGCTTCAATTGATTAAAACAAAAATCTGCAATAGTCATATGCACCATCGCTGCTTCTTCCCTAATAAAATACTTTAATATTAGTTCTCATTCAGCGATAATATGGAATAATGCTGGAGGGGAAATAATCATTACCAAACTTTCATGAGAACTGTTTCTATATAAGGACTGAAGGTGCGCCCACTTTGTTTCATTCTCTCGTACTTAGTGGTTTTTTAGACTAAGAGAATTTTATTGAATTTACTTAGCATTTTTTGTTTAATATTATTCAATTTTTAAAGCAAAAATAAGGTTTATGGGGTTTTGGGGTTTTGGGGTTTTGGGG